CCCGGTCTCCGAGTCGGCAGAAAAATCCCAAGCCCGGGCCCTAAACGAACCCAAGTCACAACCAGCTGAATGCAACATGTCGAGGATCAGATCCTGTCATTATTCCTCTTGCAACCGTGACACCTGCAATTCGACGACGTTGCTTGTATATATGCTTCACGTGCGCATCATAACAGTACTTAGTACATCTCAGTACTGTAACATCACGGTATGTCAAAGCTTCAGGCGCATGGGCGCATCAGTGTTGTCGTCACGGCCGGTTTTGTTCGTGTTTGACTATGCAATGCTCGTGCTGACCCTGTTCGTCCTAGGGATAAGCGCCCTGATGCTCACTCATCATGCAGTGAGATTGGGTGCAGGGGTTTAACTCCTGGATTTTCCAGTGGTTGCGGTGACAACTCGTTTCACTGCAAATGTTTTGTACTGACCGTTCCATTTCCGCGGATCCTTTGCCTTCCTGAGCTGGGTGGCACGCTGGGCAACTTCCTCGACGGCATACATGACCAATTGATCATGTCCTGCTTTGCTTTCACCACTTCATGTGACGCTCACGCTCATGGGAACTGAGCTCAAGACCACACTTTCCCTGGCACTTGCACGGTGCCGTGTGGAGGGCCCAGCGCGACAGCCAAGCCGGTGGCGAGTTGCTGCTCAGACAGAGCGCAGCAACCGCCAGGATCCTGTGGAAGAACCCTGCCGCTGGGTGAGGAGAGGGAAGCTCCCAAGTTTTCGTGCATGGCCGAATTGAAACACAGGAGAGCAGCAAGGGACGCTGGTTTTCACGGCCGTGCCAAGACGCCAAGACCCAGTTTGCTTCTCGTTCTCGCACTGGCATGCCGGCAGGTCGTCTGGACATGTGGCTCAAGAAGACAGGAAGTGAGAGAGGCAGCGGCAAAGAGCGATACAGCAGAGCACAGAGAGAGGTGCCCGGCAGGATCGGCCGCAGGGGGCTGTTTCAGAATCGTAGGTGGGGTTGAACCCGGCTTTCCTGCGATGGTGCGCATCGTGAACGGTCAAGTGGTAGACTCTGCCACTGCTGTGCAGAAGAGGCTGCTAGTCTTGGGACATCTAGGGGTGGGACCGGATCTTGGAAGCCTGTCTCGGCGAATATCTCTAGGGCTTTATTCAAACCCGGAATCTTTCATTTTTGGTTGTTGGTTGAAGTGACCCCCGACACTTGAAAGGAGGTCGCAGGGTCCGCTCGACCAAGTGGCCGGCTTCTTCTGGTCGGCCGGGGGCCAAAGCCCAGGGCGCGTCATCCGTGGAGCTCTTGGAGACAGAAGGATGTTGGTATAAGGCCGTCGGGGTCCAGGGTATTAGAGGCTCGTCACTGCAGTAGATACCGGCCGTCTCTCTCAATGTACTCCCGAAATTCGCTCAAGAATCCCAGATCGTGTCCTTCTTCGTGCTGTTCTTCCACACCATGTTCAAGCCAGGGGCAGGCCGCCCCGGGCTCCGAAGCAGCCGTCCTTCCTCACTTTTCAGAAGACTTCATGTTCCTAGGCCCTGCAGATTCTTGCCCTGAGATTGGGGGTTGTGGACACTGTCAAAGATGTATCTCTGTGGGCTCTTGCGATTCTTGCCTTCGGAGCTCTGCGCTTTCGTCTTGCTGGAGCAGGTGGGGGCAAGCGAACTGAGGGAAAGTCGCGGATCAAGACCATTAACCCAGGAGCTGGGCTGGGAGGGGAGGGGAGGCACCTAATTCACGAGCCTTTTGCACTTCAGCCTTTGATGTGTGTTTCCGTTTCCACATGCAGGTGGTCGAGGTCGTCAGTAGACGGGTGCTGGTGTCAAGATTCTCATTAATTGCTGTCGCTGCAGTTTTGGTCGCAGCTCCTTCGGGTAAACCACTTAGTGGACACTGGATGCGTGTACCAGGTGTACCAGCGAAGTCGTGACGCATGCTGCAACCATAGGCCATTCTCGCAAGTAGACACTAGGTACAAGCCGTTGCGGCGAACAGAAACTTGTGAGGAAATCGTAGCTGCAAGCAGTCCCATCCTTTTGCGACAGACTTTGACAGCCTCAAAACTAGACCTGCTTTCAGTTAAGGTGGGGGGGTTTCAAAGCAGTCCGTCTATGTAGCCCTTGAAGCCACGCAGAAGGAAGGCCCCTTTGAACGAAGTCAGATTCTTGCTGGAGGTTGCTTGGTTCACGGCTTCGGCTTCAGGCTTAGACTGATTTGTGCTTTGGTGTTCAAGGTCTCCGGTTCCACCGTGTTTGGTTCCTCTGGATCTCCCAGGTCCAAGAATCTGGCACACATCTGAACTCTAACCCGCCCCCATGCGGCTTTGGCAGGAGGATCCTCGAACACGCAGCTAAACGGCTCGCCTCCCTTTGGTGGCGGCGGCGGCTGAGGCACCACCAAGCACGGGGTTCAAGGCTGTCTTGCTGATCCTGATCCGTCTGTGCCGTATGATAGCATAGTGGAGACATGTTGAGACAGTCAATCACAGTCTCTCTTCGACAGGATGACTTTATCTGAAGCTGACATCATAAGCCAAAAATCTCTCAGTCTACCTGTCCTACGTCCGGCAAACAGCCACATGTTCCGGCATCCGTAACCTGTTTTGGAACCTTGCCATTCCAAGACGGTAGCAAATTCATCGCAACTCCTCGTAGCAGCCACTACAAACTGTAGGCGAGGTACGTCTCTCAGCATCGCCTTGTCCGGGTTGACCTAGTGCATGCCTTCGCTTAGCAGCCGTGCAGCCACAAGAGGGAGGGCGAGAGGGAGAGACAGGAACTCAAACGCCCAAAATAGGAACCATAAGACGAAGAGATATGCGGCAAGCGCGTTCGCATTGATTCGCAGAAAGGTTAGAGGTCGGTCCGGCGCCGGACCCGGACCGATTGATCAAAGACGCAGAAGCAGCCGGGAGCCTCAGAGCTCAAAGAGCTCAGAGTCGAATCCACAGAGTCCGGGTTCTAAGCTTAGTGCAATGCAGGGCCTTGGAGGGCCTTGCAGGGTCCAGGGCTTGGGATCTCAGGTTTCAGCTTCGCGGTTGAGGTTCAGAACTTCGGGCTTTCAGTGAGCGCTTCTAAATGCCCGTGCCGCGACACAGGATCAGTTGATCAGTTACTTCCACCGATGTTGCTCGACATGTCATAGTAGTACCGGCAGAGGAAACTGTGCAAGTACCCAACATGTGCACGCCTGGCAGTACGACATGCTGTTTGGAAGGCAGCGAGGCCTTGCAAGCTCAATCTGGTGCAGCCCTCACAAGGATCAGGGTGCAAGACTCTGAATGAAAGTTTCACATGAATACGAGACAATCTAAACCGTAAGCTTGAGGCTCACTGAGGAGAAAGGCCACAGTGCCCAAAGCTTAGGTAGCACCCCTGAGCAAGAACTACGTCTCTCTCAGTTTCAGCGGTGAAGTCCCCGTCTCAGCAGGCGAGTGATGCGGGAACCACCGGTTTGACACCGACGACCTGCGGAGTGCCTCGCGCTAGTTTGGACAAGTCTTCGGGGCCGGCTTCTGTGTGCAGATAACGTGACCCCCACAAAATTAGAACCGTAGATTTAGGATGATCTGTGCTGGGATCCCCCATGCTTTACCTTAAGCGGATGAGGCTGCTGATGTTCCAACTTTCTGGCTTATACGTTATCATCTTCCGATGCACGTTGCAAAGCGTAAGCACTCCGAGGTGGAAGGTTTTGATGGTCGAGATTTGTGAATTGTCAATCTTGCCATGCGTCGGCTTAGCTGCTCCAGTCTCTTCGGGCGAAGGGCTGAGGGCTTCAATGCTTTTCGGTGCTGGAGGGTTCTTGCATGTTCCGGGCTTACCAGGGTATGTCTCCGACGCCAGAATGCAACATCAGAGAGGGAAGGCCTTGACCCCAGCCTTCAAAGTCTAAGACCTTTGAACCCAGACCTTTGAACCCTAAACGACCAGGTGCTGCTTCACGAGCGCGCTGGATGCTCTGAATGTCAGCTGGCTGCCCGTGCAGCCATGCAGGGCATCGTCATGTCTGGATATCTCAACAGCCGGTGAAGTCCATTCTTTCGAAAGGTTGACGTTTTTCCGCATTGTTGCAGGGTTTGCCTTTGTGATGATGGGGTTCGGGTACCGCAATATCCTGAAGTCTCCCTCAAGGCCGCTGTGCTTGAGAGGCATCCAGCAGCCCGACTCCCGAAATGGTCGCTCCGTTTAGAGGGTTTTGTGCGAAGGAAGTGTTGGTTCATTTGTGCTATGCTGCTCGTGGCTGCAATTTCGGGAATTGTCCATGTTTCACCAAGTGCGAGTGCCAAAGGAAGGTCATGGGCCATGGGCCCTTCTCAAGATCCCTCACCCTAGGCCGTAGACACCAACCCGCAAATAACTTCACCAGGAATGACACCTTGGAGCCGCAACTTCCTACCCCTGGAATACCAAACCTTGCAACCCAACTCCCGAGCCCTGGGCCCCGACGGCCCTCGTCGATGCCTAGAAACCGCTGGCTTTCGAGGTCCGCAGAGATGCAAAAGAGCCTGAAACCCCGAAACCTGAACGGCCCTATAAGCCCTAACCCTTTCAAGCCAGTCGCCCCAAACCCGAGCATCGGGGGTTCAGTTGTCGACCAGGTGGATTCTGCAAGGTTTGTTACTTCGCTACCGGGTTCGACAAAGATTCTGAGTTGGGATGTCAAGATTTCTGTTGATTCTGCGTTCTGGATTACAGAATGTAGGTGTTCGTTGGTCTGGGTCTGTCCCGTAGCAGGCCCCAGAGTTCAGGGTTATTGCAAACGAGGTTCAACTCTTGCTTCCGCACCGGCCCAAGCTCGAAGCAGCCATTAGATTCACGTCGTTCATTCAGTGCTGGAAGTACACGAGTGATTTCGTGCTGACAGTGCAGCCCTTTGACTGCATGTCTAGTCAAGATAACGGGCTAATTTGCCATGGCAAGCTTACAAGCCTGCGGGCCACCTCTAAGCGAGTACAAGATTTCCGAGTTCGTGGATTGAAGAAGGTCGTTTATTTTCAGATCACTGTCGCCTTGCGTTTCGAGCCGAAGCCATGCAGTGTCTGGCGAAGGTACCATGGACAATAGAGACACGTTTCTCTCATGAGTAGATGAGTGGTCTTGGTGGTGGCAGTGGTGGTGGGCGCCCCGTTGGACAACCGCCACCAGATCCAGCAATCACCATCACCACAATTACATGCAATGATGGTTCCTACCACCACCGCCACGACCGACACTACGCCACCACTGTCACCGCCCCCACGACTGTAGCGATATTATTAGTATTACCACTACCACTACCACTACCGCTACCACTACCACTACCACTACCACTACCACTACCACTACCACTACCACTACCACTACCACTACCACTACCTCTACCACTACTACTACTACTACTACTACTACAACAACAACAACAACTACTACTACTACTACTACAAATACTACTACTACTACTACTACTACTACTACTACTACTACTACTACTACTACTACTACTACTACTACTACTACTACTACTACTTCTACTACTTCTACTACTACTACCACTACTATCACCACTACTACTACTACTACTACTACTACTGCTACTACGACTACTACGACTACTACGACTACTACGACGCTTACGACGACGACGACGACTACGACGACGACTACCACTACTACTACTACTACTACTACTACTACTACTACCACTACTACTAATATACTACTACCACTACTACCACTACTACTACAACAACTACTACTACTACTACTACTACTACTACTACTACTACTAGTACTACTATTACTACTACTACTACTACCACTACTACTACTACTACTACTACTACTACTACTACTACTACTACTACTACTACTACTACTACTACTACTGCTACTGCTACTGCTACTGTTTATGCTCCTGCTCCTGCCCCGCCTACTACTCGTGCTCTGACCGCGACTCCTACTCCGGCTGCTACTGCTTCCACCTGCGACGACCACTACCACAACTACCACTACCACTACCACCACAAGGACCACGCCCACGACCACGACCACTACAACTGCCACCGTCACTGCGACCAACCCCACCACCACCCCCCACCCACACCACCCACCCCCACCCCCAGCACCACCAGCACCACCAGCACCCCCAGCACCACCAGCACCCCCAGCACCACCAGCACCACCAGCACCAGCAGCACCAGCAGCACCACCAGCACCACCAGCACCACCAGCACCACCAGCACCACCAGCACCACCAGCACCACCAGCACCACCAGCACCACCAGCACCACTAGCACCACCAGCACCACCAGCACCACCAGCACCACCAGCACCACCAGCACCACCAGCACCACCAGCACCACCAGCACCACCAGCACCACCAGCACCACCAGCACCACCAGCACCGCCAGCACCGCCAGCACCGCCTGCACCGCCTGCACCGCCTGCACCGCCTGCACCGCCTGCACCGCCTGCACCGCCTGCACCGCCTGCACCGCCTGCACCGCCTGCACCGCCTGCACCGCCTGCACCGCCTGCACCGCCTGCACCACCAGCACCACCAGCACCACCAGCACCGCCAGCACCACCAGCACCACCACCAACACCACCAACACCACCAGCACCACCAGCACCAGCACCACCACCGACTGCCACTGCTGCTACAACTACCATCACCACGACGCACAACCACATGACCACACGCACACGCGATGACACGACCACACTGCCACACTACTACACGACTACACTGCGACACTACGACACTACTAGACTGCACTACTACACTACTACACTACCACATTACTACACGACTACACGACGACACCACTTCACTACTACACGACTACATCACTACACCACTACGCTGCTACACTATTTACTACACTAGTGCACCACTGCGCTGCTACACTACTACATGCTACACTACTACTCCACTACACTGCTAAACTTCTACGCTACAAGACCACGGTGCTACAACACTAACGCTACAACATCAGAAGAACACTACACTACGCTACGCTACGCTATGTGGCTTGGAATTGACCTCCGCAGGCAGCATCGTGGCTGTGCGAGAAGGACTCAGCCGAGGCCCCAATCGCATCCCTAGTCCCAATTCCTAGGATGGCTTTTGACCACAGATTTCGTGCCTGGGCCCCAGGCTCGATGCCATGGGCAAGCCAAAGTGCAAGAACCCGCCAACAACACGCTGGTGTTTGTCCTTCATAAGATCTCCAACTCTCCAGGAAGCAGTTTTGACAGTCCGCACCAGCCACAACATGTTGCGGCACTCAACCTCACCGAGAGTCTCGACAGGCCCTAAAAACCGGTTTCAAGCATGCCCGAAAGCCTGAACCAGACTCCTACAACGACCAAGGCTGTGCAGGACGCGGTTGCGCCGCAGCTCACTGGCGCGACCTTGCCCCGATCTTGGATCGAAGTCTCGCAGATGTGTGCAGATGCACACGCCGAGCATTCCAACATCCACTTCATTGCGAATTCCGCACGTGAATCCCTGGAATTAAAGATGCAGACATGGCGAATTGTGGGCTGTGAGCCAGATTACACGAAGACGCGAACCGAGCCAGGCTCGACCGCCAGCTGAAGCTGCTGAACCTGACGAACCTGTCGGCAGAGGCGGGATAGAACCGCATACTCGGTGCAGGCAGGCCACGTACAGCCCTTGCAGCACTAGGCCCATGCAAATCGCCGCGAAGCAAACTTATGGGCTCTATGCTCGTTCAGGTGGTTTCGACCGCCCCCGTGCCAGGATTTCTCGCGGAAGGAGGGGGTGGTGGCCGACCAGAAGTGGCAGAATTCTCAGCCTGCGCTGGAACGAGGAGAGAGGCAAAAACGGTTTGGGGCCCCGGACGCCGATTCACCCCTTGCAGCAAGGCTGGAGTTGGCCATCTCCTCCCAGCGAAAGGTTGGGGGAACGAGGGAGTTTGGAGCTTCAGAGGCTTCAACTAGCAGGTTCAGTAGGGTTGTTGGGTGATCAGTCCGAAGGCTGAACCGCATACCATGGGGTGAGGGAAGCATTCATCGGGACGAAGCTTGGGGCACGATGGGGCCAGGTGGAACCCTCGCTTTGGATGCTATATCGTGAGTGGGTCGACGATGTGATCGACGGGCAGGTGCGGTGAGCAGTGAGCAGGCTTTGCATAAGGCTGAAGTTTACAACCTCAGCCCTGCAACTCAGGCTTGGTTCCAGTGAAGCGCGGGAAAATCAGTGGACGTGAGAAAGCGTGAATCTCTCAAACAACTACCAAGGCTGTATGATACATGTTAATGTGTTTTTTGAGTGCCTTCAGCATCTGTGCCGGCAGAGATATGGAAAGCCTAGCAAAAATGGGAAACCGCCCTCGATCTTCAGTCCTCACTCTGATCGCGCCGTGTCCTCTAAATCCCCATTTCTCGGTGCCCCTGTCACCCCGCAGCGGAGGAGCAATCTGCATAATTTCCTCTATAGGCATAGACTGACATGCACAGAAAAAGGCTGCTGGACGCCCCGCCAAGCACGCAGAAGAACTTGTACTCCAACTAGGTTCCCCTTCAGGTTGCATAGACCCCTGCTTTTCTCGTTTTTGAAGAGGTCGAGCATGTCGACGCCTGGCATCACTTCGTCGTCGCACGGGCGTTCGGGCTGGGATGCTGAGCTGTCGCTGTGGGCATGTTGAGGGGACTTAGTCGGCCGGGCACCAAAGTCCCCGAAGCTGGAGCGTGAAACGAAGTCTGTGCAGCACACGTGGGAGATTTTGCTTTCGCCGATTTCGGGTTCTGCACAGGCCTTCGTGGGTCGGGCAGGGCCAGCAGATTTAAAATAGAGTTCGCGGCCTTTGGCCAATTCACGTAGCTGTGCCCGGAATTCTTCTTTGGTTCCCCGAACTAAATGGAAGCATCCGACCTCCCAGCGGCGTTCTTTGCACTGGAGGTTGAATCCTTCGCTCACGAAGGGCGTCAAGCCTGGCGAGGTCGGTTGCTCTGTTGAGCTTTACTGTGCAGGGGAGCTGTCCACCCAAAGTGCCGGAATGACGTATCTCTGGTGCAGGGGTTTGCATTGAATTTGCGAAAAGATTGTCAGGCCTCAACCCGCAAGGCACCGACGCTCGAATCGTCCTAGAATCTTCAACGGTTTGCACCTTCAGTAAGAGCCCGGCCCCTGCAGCTCTCAACGAAGCTGGGTCCTGCCAGGCCGCCGACTTGCTGGCGCTTCTGGCAGAGGACAGAGCGGGGCCATGGAGCTCTGAGCGGATGTTCTGTACCTTCCACTGGCCACCGGCCCGAAGTCCTCATCCTTCAACTGTACTGTCTTAAGCTTTTGTCTTGCCTTGGCCTTGCTATTGCGATGCGATCCCAGACCCCCCCACCTTTGGCACACTTCCGGGCTTGAGCTTCAGGGCCATGTTCTGAGGACCGGAAGTTGGGCGACGCGACTGCCAGGCACTCAAAGACATGGGGACGCATTAAAGCGGGTTCTCGGTGAGGAGCTTTGTTTGACATCCAGACTCCTTGCGAATTGGAAAAAAGCATGGGTCTCTCTTCCGCGCCCGCACTTCCACAATCTGCTCGTAATGATTGACGCCGAGAAGCCAAGACGAGCTCAAAGCCGTGAACCTGTGAGCTTCGAGGCATCACGACCCCACCCTACTACTTCTTCAATGTTACAGAGCCCTGCCTAGCCCCACATCAACAACAGAAGCAACACCACCAAGGGTAATTTTCTTCGACTGTCAAGCTCAAGAACCAAACCCTCAAATCGACAACTCTTCATACTCAGACAACGCCCCCTGAGTGGTTTCTTCGAAAAGGAGGGGTCGTGGGGAAGACGCTTCCTTAAAGGGAGATGCTCGCAAACGAGCAGAACCTATGCTACTTGGTCCATCTACCTCCCGTTCCCGTGCCCCAACAAAAAGACAAGGCACCCCGAGAGAGCCCTCGATGCGCTCCCCTCCACCCAAAGCAACAAACCAAGGCCAACGAGTCTTTGGAGTCCTGGCTTGAAGAATCGCTCCGACCTCGGGGTCCAAGGGGGTCTCTTCGAGATCTCAGGTTTCGGGCATGTATTCACGGGTTGAGGGCTCTTCTTGGTGGTTTTGGAGCGAATTCCTTGTTCCGAGGTCCGGGGTTCTGTCGGATTTGTCGGAGGACATTCCTAGCGGTTTCGTCAAAGTTAGGGTATCTCATCTAGTGATCCTTGTATTCAGGATCCTCTCATTTGGGGTCTGTATCAGGGATTCCTCGTTGTCCTCTTGCCTGAAGCTTCAAGGCGAGAGGCCTTCGACTTCCGCTTCCGCAAGGCCCACGTTCACACAGGGCTCCGTGAAGAACCTTCGAGATGTTGTCGTCCATGAACAACAGCAGCATCCCCTGCGAGGCGCACCATAGATGCTTCGATGGCCTCAGCTTTGCAGAGGCTGAGGGGATGGGTGTGGAAAGGGTTGGTCCGGAGGCATGTACGTTGCTCGAGTTATTTGGGTGCAAGGTCGCAGACTCTCACGGTTCATTTCAGGCCTTGAGGATGGTTGAATCTCAGCATGCTCTTCAGTTCAATCCCGGCGAGAAGGTTGCAGAAGCACATGAACCTCGGACTGTTGTCCCGCCATCGTCCAGCAACCAGGATCTAGAATGAGGCAGTGGGAAGCCGCCAACCAACAGTTTTGCAATGCTTCTTCACTCACAGCCTTTGCATGAATGCCAGTTGCGGCGCCTTATGTCCACCAGCCAGACAGATGTTGCAACCTTGAGCCGGCTGCGCAACAGCTGCCCAACCGTTTTCGTTTTGCCTAACTCCGAGTCCTTCAGTTCGTTCGGCCAGCTGTTGCAGAAGGTATTTAAGATTATAAAGTTTCAGGGGGGCTTGCTTGGCTTCATCTCGAATCTCTCCCAGCCCCTCATGCTCCAAATCGGCAAGGAGGGCGACTGGCAGGGCTCGTTCTCTTTCGTCCAGATCGCAGACCCGCAGCCGCGGGCACAGGGAGCCTCTACAGGGCCAGCTGCAGGGCTATAGGAGTGGCATCCATGGTGACCTCAAACGAAACGTGAGAGACAACCCGTGCACCCGATGTTGTGCTTGTTGTTGTTTTTGTTGTTGTTGTTGTTGGTGGTGGTGGTGGTGGTGCAATGCTTGAGCGGAGTGGGAGGCGATTCACTTCATTGACTGATGGCTGCTGAACATCCTCGCAATGCTTAGCTCGATTCGGAGCTGCGTATCAGCGAGGTGAGGTGTTCTGTGTGCATTGCTGAGGAACAGGTTCGATAAACAATCCGAAAGAGAGGCAGCACCCCTCAAGTTGCGCAGAATCCTGCTCTGGGGCTTTTTGGGTGGGCCGAGGCTTGGCATGCTTCACGGCGATAGGTCCTGGGAGGAGGCGGAAGCTTTTCTCGGCCTTAGGGCATCTGTGCTTTTTGGAAAAGACAAAGAGTTGGCTGCGTGGCCGGAGGTGTGTCCTGTGTCAGCTCACTTCAGCCTAACTTCAGCCTGCAAAGTGCCAAATTTCCGCCAGACCTTGTCGTGGCGGAAAGTGGCAGAGGTCAGGAAGCTGAACGGAGCAATGGGATTCAGTCTTTCTGTTTCACAAAAATCGGAATCAAAAGAAACATCCATTCATAGCCATGGAACCCCCAAGAAAAGCCTTTAACATCGTCGCAAGCTTGGCGACCTAAACAGCAGCGCATGTTCACCCCGGAGTGTCACAGGAGCGTGCCATGCTCAGTGTGGCGCCCGGTGTCTTTGGGTTATTCTTGGTTTTTTGGTGAGCAGTTCTTCCTTGAGTCCTTGACGAGTGCCGCCGCTGGAAGCTGGAGTTCGGGATTCTGTGGAAGGAGTTTTTAGAGTTTGACCTCCAGCATCTCAGAAACACACCACGCTTTGTGGCAGCACAAGACGCCAACAGCTCTCGCACAACACCAGAAGCCTTAGTGCCTTGTCGAAAGATGTCATAGCGCCAAGTTAAAAACTGTCCGAAGCCTGGTCGAGCCCTGAATCTTACAGCTAGGCCCAAAGCTTGTCCGGTGAGGTCTAGCTGTGCAGCACATCAACAAGCTCAAGCCGCGATTCCTCCTGGTCAGTGGTGACATGTCCAATGCCTGTGACCCAATACTGATTGCCGCTTCATTGGTGTTGTGTCTTCTCCCAAATCTACGAAGGTAAGTACATAGCTTGGGATATACTCTGTCATGTTGGCATGGCATTGTTGTGCGTGGATACTGCCAAAAGTTGTTGTTAAGGGCAGGATGCCAAGGAAGCTTGATAGCGAGGATGCCCGGTGCTTTGACTCTGGACCGACATGCCTTGGAGCGAACCAAATCCCATCCCTGAGTCGTGAGGGGAGCTGATGTTTTGAGGCTTAAGGTCGCTTCCGGGCAGGCTTCTTCTTGTCGAGTGGCGTTCGCTTGATGCCGAGGCGTGGCCGGTGGGGCCCCAAGCAGATGCCAAGGCGGCCGCCAAGCAGGTGAATGCGGTCAAGGAGGTGGGAAGGAGTGGGCTGGGCCCTGATTCCAATAAGGAACTCGTAGCCTGCTTTGGTTACTCCGTCGTGCGGCTAGTTGACAGGTCTTGCGCGAGGTAGACAGCTCGATACCAATCGTCCTGGCAGTAGCCCCAGC